TTGAGTTTGACTCCTGCCTTAGTGAAATAGGTTAAAGTAATGCCAAGTATCATTTCATCTCTACATACCACAACATACAGCTTTACCTATCCAGGCTGTTAATGATAATTCTTGGCACCATTTAATATGGGCAGGTAAAAATCAGATTTTCTTGATTGTTCCCTATTGTCCGCTTACAGTCTGCTTATTTGAAGCAGGACCAACGTGTCAGTGTCACACTTCGGATGGTGTGTGTAGGCAATAGGCTCTCATGTTCCACGCCAATGATTTGCTAACAGAAACACCAGATCAGTTGTCTCACAAAAGCTGCCCACATTCTGTTGTGCCTCTTCCTTTTGGCGTCACTTCACTTTATCCCTCTAGCTTACGCCAGCAAACCTTTTCTGTAAAGGGAGGAGAACATAAATATTTCAGGCTCTGTGGGCCACGTGGTCCCTGCTGCAACTCCTCAGCTGTCACAGCAGCACAACAGCAGCCACAGAGAAAGCATACGCCAACGAGAGGCTGTGGTTCAATAAAACATGAAAACCTTCCCTCTGCAAGCACTGTTCTCTGCTTCCCCTGAAACAGTCTGTGAGGGAAGAGGAGGATAAGGCTGGACTCTACTTATCACTGCTTACTTTCAGTGTGGCTTTCGTATGGCCGCAGAGATGTGGCGTGTTGCAATGGTGTGTGTCTCATACAAGCCCACCCTAAGAAGGAGCCTCAAAGTCTTTATGCATTCACTGCATTTCAGCCAACTGTCTTCATTACTGGTTTTGGTACTCAAGCGTTCTCAGGCCAACTGCTCCTTTATACTGGTCACTGTGTCCTTCTGGCATGAACAACTAGTTGCTGGTAGCCTCCATGCTGTCTGAGACAACAGGATATGCCAGGCTCATCTTTTGTTTTTGCTGTTCCAGACTGGAAATCAGTCATTCATCGAAATACCCATGGTTCCTTTCAGTGAGAAATGGTACTTAGAGCCCACAATCACAGTTCTCTTTGTGCTTAGTGCTATCGTGTTATTGTTACAACACCTCACTGGGGAGTCATACAAAATACAAATCTTAAATTCTATGGTGAAAGCTTTAATGTAATAGAATCTTACTGGAAAACAAATACTGGCTCTGAATGAGTGAAAAATGTTTAATTCCTCTGTGGCTTAGTTTCCTGAAAAACAGTTAAAGTGAAGGGCATCTCACAGTTTTAATAAAAATGATTAAATTAATATATAGAGAACATTTCAAACCATAATATATGGTAAACAATAAAAGGTACACTCCAACATTCAATACAGTAGTAAGCTACTTTTATGAATTGATCACAGGGAAAGTAATGAAATATTTCAAGCAAAAATTAGTAAGAGCTTGTTTTTATAATATTACTTATAAACATGACTATAATAATCTAATATTCAACATTAAGGAAATAGTTTATGGACAGTGAATGTACAAGATAGGCTAAATAATACCAAAAAACACCTCGTGAGCCAAAAGACTGCCATTTGTACTAGCCAAGTATACACAATCATTGTACCATGTCCTAACCACTGTTTACTGTCCTTACAGATTCACCATTTTGAACACTTGACTTTCACTAAATTGATAGGTGGCATTTCTCTGCCTGCTTCGGAAGTTAATCTTCATTTGTAATTTTATTAGCCATCCAATTACTGTTGCTATAAATTATTTTTTGTCCATTTCAGGGAGAAAATTAAAATTTGATGTAGAAGGTATTTGCATAAGTTATTTAATAATCTTACAAGAAACCTTGAGGGTAGATAGTGTAAAAATCTAATAACTTAGCATCTTTTCATTTACAAATCCCAATTTATAGAAGGAACCAGAATTAATTCAGAAAACAATAAGAATCTGGCATCTAAGGCTCATCTATTTCTAGCAGCACAAACAGATCAGCTCTAGTAACAAATTAAAGAGAATGAATGCAGGAGGAATTAGCTTGCCTGCAAAGCTCAATCAGTTTAGAGGGTGCTTTAAGTAAGCTACATAGAAACAGTACAGCATAATGGTTAGAACACAGATTCTAGAGTCATGCTACCAAAGCCCTCTCACTTACTGATTATGTAAGCTAGGCTAATATACTTTGTGTGCCTCAGTTTCCTCATCCGCAATGTGGAAATAATAGTATTTATAAATAGGATTTTAACAACAAGAAAATGTATGTGTGTGTTTTAAAGCTATGTCCCCCTAAATTCATATGCTGAAATTCTAAGGTGACAGCATTGGGAGTTGAGACTTTGGACCTCAGGAGGTAATTATAAGCAACAGGAACAGCATCCTTATAAGACAGATCCTACAGAGGCATCTAGCCATTTCCACCACAGAAGGACACATGTGTGGAAAGCATGGAATATAAACAAGAAAGTAGATGTTCCCTAGATACTGAATCAGTCAACACCCTGATCTTGGACTTCCGAGCCTCCAAAACCATGAAGACTAAATTTTTGTTGTTTAGAAGTAACCCAGTTTATAGTACTTTGTTATAGCAGCCCAGGTATTTACATATATACAATCAGAAAGACATGTGCCTTGAGTCATGTGACCAAAACAGGGCTGGCTCATAGGAAGTGCTGCGTTTGCTGTGTTATCAGAAGAGTTTATACATCAGTCCCTCCTTGTCACCTGCTCTTTCATACGTCAAAGTGTGTTATTCAAATATTACATTGCATTCTAACTACTTCACCTTCCAATACACCAGTAGGTGTAAAAATCAAGGCATGATTTTTAAAAAAGTGCGCTGCATGCTAATCCAGATACACTGTCCTTTTTAAAAAAAAAACTATCACTACAGCGATTCCTATCCTGTGGTACACAGCACTGCTTCTCAGATGTGAACATGAATCCTCACCTGACAACTGCTAAAATGAAGATTTTAATTCCTATCAGGGCAAAGCCTGAGTCTGTGCATTTCTACCATGATTCTAGGTGGTATGGAGGCGGCTGGTCCTAGAAAGACACTTTGAATACCAGAGATCTAAGTTTATGAATGAGCTTCTAGAAGTTCTGGAACCATAAGACACTGTCTACAAAATGCTTGGTGAATGTGCCTCTGGGGGTTATTTTCTGAGGAAAGATGCCACAGTTCCTACCATATTCTCATGGGTGGGGTGAGAGCACAGTAGAGACAGACAAGGCATTCCACAGCTAAGATAAAACAAAACTGACATGAAATAGAAACCTTTACACATAGACATTAAAGACAAATTATAATTTAGAAGACTAGGCCTCAGTCTTTAAAGTATATAATTAAAATACACAAACACAAAAGTCTAAGAGACAAAACAATAAAGCCAGAGTATCTAATATTTGCTTAGTAGAAAGTAAAAAAGGAGAAAATTTAGGGGATTGCATTTAAATACATATGCATATGTGCAAAGCTATATGTACACACTCCCATAGTATATATGTATGTGCACATACAGTCACACAAATATAAAAATAATATAAATTTTGGAAAAATATCAGTATTTAGGTACATGAGCAAAATTAAAAGTGACTATTCACAACCTTTTAAAAATGCATCCCACTAAAAGCCACTGCCATTAATTCTCCTCATGGTACTGCCCCCGCTTCACACGCACGTATCCCATTGTTCTTGACACTCCTGAAGCTGTTCTGAAGTCCTTTTCCTAAATGTCTCTATGAGATGTGATTTACAAAGCAAGAGAAAAGAAACAGGGAATGCTGCTGCTGAGTGAAATCGAATGGAAAGGCAGTTTGTAAAAAACGCCATGCTGGGTCCTCACCCACCTTATTCACCAGATCTGGCACCATGTGACTCCTGCCTCTTTCCCAAAGTCAAAATGACCATGAACGGTAAGCATTTTGAACTGACTCAGAATAACTAGGCAACCACAACAGCCCAATAAAAGACTAGCAGAACTACTTCAGAAAGTGGTATGAGTGATAAGATAGTATGTTTAAGGTTAGGGCAGTATTTCAAGGATTAATGGCAATGCATCTTTTATTGTAATAATTTTATTTAAACATTCAAAGTAGCTTTACATCGTATCTCATATACAATGGTCCACCAAATACCAAAGTAATAATGACTAGACATACCTATAAACTGGTGAAAACTGTAAACTAAAATATGCCAAGGTAATTATACGCTTCTGGAATAGCAAAAGTACAGGGACTAATATGGCAATTTAAAGCTACAAGATGATAAAGTAACATATGCAGAATCCTAAACCAACAGTCATAAAAGTGTAAGGTCAAAATTAAAAAAAAAAAAACACCTCAGAATATATATAACACATGCATATTTCTGGGAGGAAAGAAAAACAATTTAAGTACTTGTTTCAATAAAATAAATTCAACTGGACTGAAAATTTTAAGAAAAATGATGTGACAATAGAACAACAACACGAAGAGAAGGAAAATCTAAGGAAATTAAAGTAATCATTGAGAATGGATATGAAATTTTTAATGGAAATTTTTAACCTTATTTTTAGCTTTATGATTAAAATTTCAAAGATAAATACAATAGAAAGAAGAGTATATAAGTTTTCATGCATCACCTTCCCATCTTTAAAGGTGATTACAAATACCAACAAGTATGTCTATTCTTGTGATTTCTCTTCAACACTGTACTAGGAAGCTTTAGTGAGGACTATTAGGCATGAGGGAAATACTATCTAGAATGGAAAGGATGAAGTATTTCTACTTACAACTATGACATGATCAAATATACATAAAAAACCCTAAGGAATATGTATAAATAAAAATCCATTAGGGTTGATAAACAAGTTCAGCAAAGTCATGGATTGCAAGAAAGAATATATTCCTGTGCAAGGCAATGCCAATCAAACATTAAATTTTAAAAATTACACTTGGAATAATATGTAAAAAATATAAATAAATTTAACAAATTAAGTAGAAAAGCTATGATCTGAAACTACAAAGCATTATTGAGAAAAATTAAAGACTTATATAACCGACAAGACAACTATGCTCATGGGTCAGGACTAAAACTGGCTAGACAGCAATTCTCACCATTGTTCTCACAGGTTCACTGGGGTCCATATCAAAATCTCAGCTGCCTGCTCCCCCTCGAGGAGTTAATCCTAAAACTCACATGAAAATTCAAGGAATCCAAAATTGCTAAGCAATCCTAAAGAAGATGAACAAAGTAGAGGATCCACATTTCTTGATTTCAAAATGTACAAAGCTACAATACCAAGGAGACTGCGGTATTACTATCGGATACACAGACAGACATTTATAGATATTTATGTAAACAGAACGAAGTTGAGAGCTGAGAGGTAAACTCAGAATTACACTCAGTTGATTATTATTATTTTTTTTTTTACAAAGGTGTCAAAAATGGAGAAAGAATAGTGTTTTCAACAAATAATGTTGGGACAATAGGAAGCCAAATGGAAAAGAATGAACTGACCTCTATCTCATAATACTGGAAAAAACAAAAATTAACCCCCCCCCCAAGCAACCTAGGTCAAAATACCTACCCCTAAAGACTCAACTATAAAACTCTTAGAAAGAAAATACAGGCGCAGTCATCTTCACCTTGGATTAGGAACTTATTTCTTAAGGATGGCAGAAGCAACAGTAACAACACCAAACTAGATAAATTGTAACTATCTCAAAATCAATAGCACTTGCGCCCTGACAGACAGGTATATAAGAAAGTGAAAAACCAAACTAGAGAACATGGAAAATATTTTCAAATCACAGAACTCTTACAACTTAAAAAAAATTAACCAATTAACATATGGGTGAAAGATCTGAATAGATGTTTCTCCAAAGAATACACAAAATGCCACCAAACACATGGAAAGTCATTCATTACTTATTAGAAAATGCTAATCAAAGCCACATGACATACTACTTTGTTAGGACAGATATGACCAGCAACAACACAGCCCTGGTAAAGACGAGGAAAGCAGGGAACACACTGCTAGCGGGAAGTAAGACAGCACCAATATTGGAAACAGCCTAAAGTTCTTCAAAAAAACCCCACCAAACACAGTTACCCTATGCCTAGAAACTCTACTCCTCTGCATATATCCAAGAGAACTGAAAATTTAAGCACATACAAAAAACTGTACCCAAATATTAGCTTAATAATAATAATAATACAGCAATATTAGCTAAAAAATGGAAGTTATCCCAATGTCTGTCAACTGATAATCAAATAACATGTGGTATACCAAAGAGAACAGAATACTGTTTGGCCAAAAAAAGAATTAAACACTGAGTTCTGCTATAACATGAACAAATTATAAAAACATTATGCTAAATAAAGCCAGGTACAAAATGACTATATGAAGTGTTCAAAATAGGCAAATTCATAATGTTAGAAAGTCAGTTCATGGTTGCAAAGAGCTATAGGGAAGGAAGGAAAAAGTTAAAAAAAAAACCCAAAAAACAGAACATACACACACCAAAAAAACCCAAAAGGTAAAAGCTATAGGTACAGAATTTTCTTCTGAGCTGATGCAAATATTGTGAAATTATATAGTGGTGATGGTTGTATAACTGTGACCATACTAAAAACAATTCTGAAAGGTTGAAGTGCACTGCAAAAAAAAGTGCTATTTAAAAAAAAAAGTATATCACTATAACGAAGTGATTTATTCTGAGAATGAAAGGGTAGTCACATATTTAAAAATCTATCAATGCAATTCACCAAATGGGGGAAAACACATAGTGATATCAGTAACTTGTAGGAGAAGTTTTTTTTTTTTTTTTTTTCAAATTCCAACACACACTAAGGAGAAAAACTCTTGCCATTAGTACAAACTTGATAAAGGGCACCTACAAAGCCCACAGCTAATGTCCTTGGTGGTGCAATTGCATGCTCCACTACCATGATGTGAAACGAGGCAAATACTCTCAATGCCAGACCTGACAGAGCTGGGAAAGAAAAAACACCACTGTCCTTGTTCACAAATGAAGTAATTACATGGAAATTTTGCATAAATATTTCTAGAACTAACAAGCAAGGTACCACAATTCATACAGAAAAGTGAAGAACAACTGGAAACAAATATTTAAGAATACTATCATTTTCACTAGCTTCTCCCCAAACTGGAGTGATGTTTGCACAACTCTTTGAATATAACTACTTTACTGAATTAGGATCTTAAATAGCGAATTACAACTCAATAAACCTGTTCAGTGTGAATCTAGGAAAAAAAAGTTCCTAAATGAAATATGCATAAATATAAAATACTGTAGCTATATTCATATGAAAAAACTACTATACTAATGAAAGAAATAAAAGACTTAAATAAATGAAAGATCTTGTATCCATGGATTAGAAAACTCAACACAGTGATGATACAAACCCTTCAAAAGTGCTCCATACATTTAACCCAATACCATTCAAAATTCTAGCAGGATATTCTACAGGTAAACACAAGCTGATTCTAAAATGAGGGAATGTGAGGGAAAACAAATTAGAATAGTTCAAAAAAAGCTGACAAAAAAATTGAAGAGACTGCACTGCCCCACTTAAGGACTTACTAAAAAGCCACAGCAATCAAGACAATTAGGCAATGGCAAAGAGATTCACACAGAACAATGGAGCAGAAGGCAGAGTCCAGAAATAGAGCAGGCCATGGGGCCACTTGGTCTCTGACAGGAGCAGAGGCAGCGCAACATGGAGTCAGGATAATTTTTCCAACAAATGATGTTCAAACAAATGGTTATTCACATGCAAAAGTGGAACCTTTTTACAAATTTTACACCTTATAAAGACAAATCTTAAGACCTAAATGTGTAACATAAAACATAAAAATGTTCAGAAAAACTGAAAACCTTGATCTTGGATTAGGTGAAGTTTTTAGAAATGATATTAAAATATGAATCGTAAATTCAAAAAAATGGTAAGTTCAACATCAAACATAAAAATGTTTTGTTTTGCCAATGGTACTATGTAGATAATAAAAAAAAACAAGTCATAGATTCTGAGAGAAAAATATGACTCTCAAAACTCAAAAAGAAATAGAATTAAAAATGGGTAACAGACTTGAATCCCTTACCCAAACGGCCAAAAAACAAACAAAAAAAAGTCTACCAAGAGATGCACAACATCATTAGCCATTAAAAAAATGTTCAAATCAGGAGTTACCACTACACAACTTTCAAAATGAGAAAAGGAAGGAGTACAATCCTGAGAGATGGAGAAAAGTGTGTGCAGCACTCTTCCCCTCAAGGGCTAGAATGTTGACAGCTAATGATCGCTCTGGAAAATGATTTGGTACTTCTTTTAGAGTTCCCCTATACTTAACACTTAGGTCCCAGCAAGCCCTCACTACATACTCTAAAGGAATAAAAACTGATATCCATACAAAAAATTGTACATGATTCCTTACAGCAGCTTAATAATTGCCCCAAACCAAAAGCTCAAATGTCCTTTAACCAGTGAATTGGTAAAACCTCAGCATATTCACACAATGGCATTCTGCTCACTGGTTAAAAAAAAAAAAAAATCAGTGAAATACTGATTCATGCCTTACCAAGACACTGCACTGAGAAGCAGCAGCAAGTCTCCAAAGGTGATTCAGTGTACAGGCCCACTTACATGGCCTTACCAGAAAGATCAACTGTGGTAATAAGCACATCAGTCATCAGCAGGGATTGTTATCGGTAAGTAGAGGGTGAGATTATAAAGGAAAAGCAGAAAAGAGATTTCTGGGGTGATAAAACTGTTTTGTATCCTCAAATTTGATGACAGCTATGTAGACTTTAGACCAAAAGGGAAAAAGTCAATGTCATGCCATAATTTTTTAAATAAATTTTTTTAAATTAAAAAATAACCTTAAAAGCTAGAAACCCAATAAAATAAACAAAAATAGTAATAAAGTAAAAAACAAGGAAATCAGTATATCATTAAACCAAGCCAAAACCTAATTCTCCCAGAAAACGTAAATCAGAGAAACATGGTCAATCTGTTCAAGAAAGGAACGACAGAAACAACACAGATGGTTAAGACAATAAGAGTGATATAATCACAGGAATACAAAACATTTTTAAGAGAATATTATTTATAACTTTAAAACAAATATGAAAATGTTGATCAAATAACAATATTTTAGGAAAATATAAATGATCAAAATTGACTCAAGAAACTGAAAAAAGTAGTTATTCTTCCACAGGCATCACACACCTACTCTAGTTTTTTTTAGAATTCTAACAAACCTTTAAGAAATGTATCACTTATTGTAGTTAACTCTCTACTTGGGAATGAAAAGCAAAATAAAATGACAAAATGCAGGGGTAATCATGCACTGTAACCCTGATCCGCTCTGCTCCAGCAGAGTACATGCCATCAGACCAAGCCCCTAAATGCCCCACTTCTTGGCTTGCCTAGACTACACCGACCGAACAACTGTCTGGGCTGCATATAAAATACATAATATAGTTAATGTATATAAGTAACCAAACTTCTTTTAAAGTATTTGTATTATTTCATTAAGAAAAAAAGGCAAGCTGCTAGTGGACTCAGGACTGGAAATGCTGACTAGAAGGTTAGGTAACAGGCACCAAGATACACAGGAAATCAGACAGGAGTAAAGTTCTAAGGTTCTATAGGTGAGCATCATTTGCTCAATTTTTCTGTAGTTTATAAACAACTACAAGAAAGGAACTCAAAGGTTTTCAGTATAGAGAAATGATATATGTGTAAGGAGATAAAAATGCTAGGGGCCTCATTTTATCATTACACACTGTATATATGTACCAAATGGCCACACTGTACCCCATAAATATGTACAATTATGTATCAATAAATATGTTTTTTAAAAATCAAACAATCAGCCCCTTACTTGAGTTCAGTGGAAAGAGTAATGTGGAGTTGCACCTTAGGCAGTTTAAACTATGCAATTTCATCTACATTCATCTGCATCAACCATTTTATTTGATGCTCAAAGAAACTTCTGTAACAATGCTAGGGAAAAAACTGGAAGTTTTCTCAACTGAAACTTAACACCTCCATCTTCCTTTCGAAGTGAGCTCACGACTCCTGGGCCTAACCCATCCCCA